TTGCTGATGTACTTGAAGACGTGAATTGCGTCTGAAGGCCTGTCCATATTCATGGCATTTGTATGCTTTCTGTCCTGTGTTTATACTTTGATGGCTTTCAAGTTCTGAACGTCTCTTGAAGCTCATGCCACACTCTATGCACGTACAGCCTTTCCCTTCAGAATGCATTGGTTGAGGTGCTTTAAGGTCAGAGTTTAAGCATTTGTGTTTCTCTCCTGTGTGAAATCTTGTATCTTCTGGGCTCCATCTGAAACTTTCTCCATCCTTCAAACAGTGACACAGATTTATTTCGGCGTGACATGTTGGACATTTCACTGGTCTTTTCCTCAGAGGGATATTTTGTTGATACTCTGAGCGTTGAAGTGCACTGATGCTCCACTTTGTTGTTTTTCCCGTTTCGTCTTCAGAGGCAACGCTGCTCGGATATCTGTGAGATATGTCTCTCCTCTGGTCTTCCTGATTGTGCCTCAGTGATTCATTTCCTTCCCAGCAGTTCTCATTTTCATCCTCCCCTCTTTCTGGCAATGTCCCCTGGAGTCTTAATTCCTTCTCTTTTCCCTCATCTGCTCGAAGGAGAGAATAGTGAATTGAGGATCTAGTGGGTTGAAGGGGGAAAAGATGCCAGAGAAGAAACTTTATTGCATTCATCAACCTGTTTTGTATTCAGGAAATCTTTCTCATTTTCCATTGCTAAAATTTGTTGTTGTTGTTTAGTTGTTAAGTCGTGTCTGACTCTTCGTGACCCCATGGAGTAGAGCACGCCAGGCCCTCCCATTTTCCACTGCCTCCCAGAGTTTGGTCCGGGAGGCCATTTTTTTGGTTTAGCTAAAGACACAAGAGGTTCAGTGGTAAACAAGTGAGTGGTAATACCCTGAAAGATAGGAACAAAATTCAAAAAGATCTTGATAAGCTCAAGCATTGGGCTGAAAACAACAGAACGAAATTTCAGAGGGATAAGTGGAAAGTTCTCCACCTAGGGTAAATAAACCCAACGATTGAACAGTTACAAAATGGGGGATACTTGCCTCAGTAATAATATGAGTGAAAAGGATTTTGGAATTGTTGTAGATGACACACTGAATAAGAGGGATGCCAACAAGCTGGACCCAGTTGGGAAGAAAGCAACAAGGGTGATCAGGGGACGGGAAACCAAGCCCTAGCAGGAAAGATGAAAAGGATTTTGGAATTGTTGTAGATGATACACTGAATAAGAGGGATGCCAACAAGATGGACCCAGTTGGGAAGAAAGCAACAAGGGTGATCAGGGGACTGTAAGCCAAGCCCTAGGAGGAAAGACTCTCTCTATATATATATACCTTCTAGATTCCGAAGGGCCTGTAAAAGGGGAAAAAAATAATCATCTGCATCATCCTCTTTTTGGTAGGCTCCTGCTTGTAGCTGCTTCTGTTCATCCTTAAGAAAAGCCTCTCCTTCCATGGGTGTAGATCAAAGGTCGACCTTCATCTTTCACCTTTAACAATAGAGCAGAAGCTTTTTAGAGTAACAGTCGGGACACCAGCCCTAACCTCAGTCATGAATTCCATTGCCTTTGAAGGGAGAATCTAAACCAGCTACCACCTTAACCCATTAAGAGAAAATAATAAGGATGTGGCATTTGGATTTCCTGCAGTCGAACTCCCCAATTTATCCCAGAATTCCTCCTCCTGGGGGAAATTTGGTAGTCCCAGTCTACAATTTCAGACACCTTGTATTTTTCCCTCAAGGCCTAGTCTTCAGAGGCTGCACTAGAGATCTCCAGCTCCTGCTTCCCAAATCCCAGGGCACTTTAGTTTGTGGAAGGCACTGTGTATAGTTTTTGGAAGGCACTGTCTATATAGAAATGAAAGAGCTATAAGATTACACCTAGGAGGCATTGCAACAGGAAATGAATGATGTAAGAAGCCCTGCTAGAGATGAAGAAAACACATGGGTCTGAAGGTGTGCGTCTCTGAAACAGAAAACTCAGATTCAGGAATTCTGGGAACTGGCATCCAAAAAACTCCAAGGTGGACACCCCTAGAAGAGAACCCTCTCTCCAGCCCCACCACAATGATGTGGTACATAGAGACCGTCTCCCTCTGGCAATATTCACCCATTGCAAAGTTATCTCCTCTGTTTCACCTTTGGTTCTCTCTAAGAATGCCCATATTTTTTCCTCGTACTTACCAAGGTGACGGCCAACTGCCCAGGAAAGCTCACCATGCAGCTACAGAGAAGCAGAGAGTTTGGGGGAAAAGAATGAAAAGGGGACTCACCCAGTGGGAGAATTTCTAGCAGCTAGAAACAGAGCAAAAGCCAACACCCATATCTGGCTAAGGTGGGGATGGGTGTCTGGAAGTCTGTGTTTCCTTCTGCTGGTGACTCATTACTAATTGCAACTCTTCTCTTCTCTTTTTCTTTTTATCATGCCCACATTCCCACCTTGGAATTGAACCACCTGCTAAAAATTACCCAAGGATTTGCAAGGAAGTCTGGAGTTTGTATTTGAGATCAAAAGAGAGATTCAGGTATAAAGAAAATCTTTTTTTCTAAGGGAAAAACATTTGAGAAGGTTTTTTCTTTGATGTCTTCATTTTCATATTTTTATCACTAACCTTCCTGTTTTTATTCATTCATTTTTTCAGCTTCACATGTTGTCCATGTCTGAGGAGATTTCAAAAATTAAAGAGCACAAATGCACGCAGTGGCTTAAATCCTTTGGCTTAGTGTAGTAAGTTGTGCTACTTCCAGCGAAAATCGCCAATAGGAAAGCCGCTTTGTGAAGCACCAAGCAGCTGTTTTATATCGCTGTTTTATACCGCCTTTCCCTCCTTCTTTTATCACTCCAAGCTTCAACTGAGCCAGCTGCAGATAATTTTTCTCTAGGATCTGCAAGGGGTTCTGGGATCTGTAGTTTAGAACAAAGCAGCCATCTCAGGCATAGAGGTAGTCTGGGGATGAAGGGAAAAAAGCTGCTGGATTTTTTTAACTGTATTTTTTGTTTCATATGTTTACCCATAAACTTCCTGTCTTGTTCATTAGGTTTCTCAGCTTCCCCATGTTGTCCATGTATGAGACTGCAGAAAAAAAATAAAGAGCATTGATGTAGACAGTAGCTGAAAACCTTTTTTTGCTTTCCATAGTCAGTTCCATTAGAGTAGACCCATGAATCCCTTGGAACTGGTGAGTCAACTCCTCCATAAGCTCCATTGATTCAAATGGGTTGACTTAAGTTGGAACATCTTAGTAGGCCCATTTTAGTCTATGGAACCTGCAGAGGAGTTGACCCACCAATTCTCTGTTGATTCAATGAGCCCACTATAGTGTGACTTATTAATAAACAGCATTTCAGCCACTGATTTGACAGTTGACCTCCCATTACAGTTATGGCCTCTTTCCAAGGATGAACAGCAAAATATCTGATGCCACTCCATTTCTGGGTCCAGGCCAGGTTTTAGCATGGCCTGTATTCCACCTAGTTCTGCCCACTCCAGAATTCATTGTATCAGGGCTCCTTATGTGGAGTCAGTTGGAGTTGGAGTAGGCAGATCAATTGTGTTCC